TATATATATATATATATATATATATATTCTGTTATTCTAGAGAACCATGATTTACAAAGGTGGTGACCCCTATAGGACTTGTGAACAGAAAGAAAGTATTCAACAGCTATTTTTCTTTTTTAATTCATTCTTTTACACATCTAAGGCAATGCCATTTGTAAATTATTATTGCCAAAGCTAACCTTTTGTCTCTGTACAACTCAAAAGTGAACTCAAGCCTAGAATCTACAGTTATCTTGGATTCCAGACCACTGAGCTGCAAGTGGGTGCCATCCCCTCTGCTAAGAAAGGGTGCTGCTGCCTTCGGTGAGGGGTGCTAGCTGGCCAGAGCCATGACGGAGCCAGCTAAGATGGACTTACTTCCGCCCTTCCCGCTCTTCTCCATCCGGTACTGGTAGATGTGCAGGGTGAAGAGCATGTGGGAGTTACGGTGGTCATCCTCATCACAATCCTGCTGGTTGCTTCGCCGTGAGGCAATGGCAGCATCCAGGAAGAAGGCAGCCTTCTCTGCGGTGGGGGCCCGCAGCTCGCTCTGGTTCTGCAGCTGGAGGACAGAAAAAAGAGCTGAGACCTTCAGGCTTCCCTCCTGCCTGGGGAAGCTCAGTCCAAGTGGTGAGGCCAGAAGTCCTTCTGAAACCAGGTCCTACACACATGGGCTAGTCTCAGCATAGTCATTTTTTTTTCTTTTTTCCCTTTCATGTATGTGTGGTACACATGTGTAGAAATGCATGTTTGCATGGGTGTGGGCACATTTTTATGCATGTAGAAGCCTGAGGTTGACACTGGGCATTATCCTTGGTTGTTCACTGTGGCAGAAAATCTCAATTGATCGCAGAATTCTAGATATAAATAGTCTCTGGGCCAGCCTACTTTGTAAATCCTGTCTCACTTTAAAGCAGTGGTCCTCAACCTGTGGGTCTTGACCCCTCTGGGTCAAACAACCCTTTCACAGGGGTCATTTAAGACCATTGGAAAACACAGATATTTACATTATGATTTATAACAGTAGGAAACATTGCAGTTATGAAGTAGCAATGAAATAATTTTATGGTTGGGGGTCACCACAACATGAGGAACTGTATTAAAAGGTTGCAGCATTAGGAAGGTGGAGAACCATTTAGAGGCTGGATATACAGGCAGGCTGTCACCTCCCCCCTCCCCAGCCTTTACATGTGTTCTGGGGGTCTGAATGCTAATCCTCATGCTTTTGTGACCAGTGCTTTAACCGTGGAGGCAGCTCAGTTGGTTGATTGGCTTCTGAAAATTAGTATTGACCACATTTATTGGATGTAACTTGTTTTTAGTTATTTTACAGCTAGCAAGTGGCTCTATGGTGTGGGGGTTGGGGGGGGTAGTGGTAGCACATGCCTATCTTTGTGAACTGACATCCTAAGCCATTCATCACTAACCTGACAGATGTGACTAGGTCTTGACCTTAAAGATCGGAGACAGGTGCTGTGAAATGCGATTTTACATCTGACAAGGAAGAGCCTTGTCTAGTGTTCATTTCCGATTTCTCAGTTATTTAACAAAAGCTAATTTTAGGTCACATTTACCGGCATAGTCATGAACAAGAAGTACATTATGCTAGTTAGTGATAATTGTCAACTTGACAGACTCTAGAATCACTTGGGAGTTGGGCCTCTGGGCATGACTGTTAGGGTTATCACATCATTGGGATGGGAAGACCCACGCACTGAGGGTGGCACCCTTCCCTGGCTGGGATCCTAGGTTGTTGTGTAAGTGGAGAAACGGAGCTCAGAGGCAGCATGCACTTATTCGCTCTTGCTTCCTGATGGTGAATGTGAGGTGACCAGCTGCTCCAGGCTACTGCTGCCTTGGTGATGGCCTGCTCCCTTCAACTGAGAGTCCTAATAAAGACTTTCTCTGCCAAGTTGCTTTTGTTAGGGTATTTTATCCTAGCAACAGAACAATGTATACAAGGCATGTAGAAACACCTAAGTAATCTGAAGGTCCCATCTGTATTTAAGAGACATCTATCAGTTTTTGTTTCAGCGCCTGAATTCATGCTCAAGGCAAACTCACGAGTGATTAGAAGTGACGCAGTGGGCACTGTGTCTAAATCTTGTGAGAACCCTGGGTCTGAATCCCAGGACTCCCTTTTGTGGTAGAAATCTGCTTTTTGGGTTAGTTGAGACAGGTTCTTGTTCCCCTCACGCTCCCCATCTTCTCTCCACAGCGATCTGAATGTCGGCGTGACAGGTGCATGCCTGATTTAGCTTTGATTTTTTTTTTCCAAGGAACTGATTTGCAACATGTCTTTGGGTTGGCACAAATTATGACAATTTTCTACTCCGACTTGAACCATACCTATAATTTCAAGCTGTGAGAAGCAATATTTGGTGCAGGCAGGATTTGCAAGCTAAGACCATCTTTCAAATCCTTGAACTTCGAAGGGATTTTATCGAATGGGTACTTTTGAACTGACTAGCCGACTTAAACGAAAGCATTACAAACATTTAAAAGAAGAGTTTCAGGAGGCCATTCCTTTCTTCATCCTATTTACCTTCCGCTAAACAGACCTTTACTTAAGAGAAGCTTTGTTAGTAGACTCCCAAACGAATCTAAGTTAACACATGTTTGAGTGCCCTGCCAAGCTTTGCAGCCAGCATGGTGGCCAGGGTGCTCCTGTTTCCATCACGGAGCCTTGCAACAGCATCTGAACATGTGTTATGCTTCAGAGTAACAGTTCCCGGGATCCTATGGGGACTTGTCAGAAATGCACATTGAGGGGAGGAGGCGATGAGCTTTACCTCAGAGGGAATCAGACACTGCTGAGGAGGAGCCCAGCGATCAGTTTCAAGTCCTCCAGGCTACTCTGGTGCACACTACGGAGATTTCTAAAGGAAACTGGAAGGTTCTGAGTACCCCGAGCAGAGGCTGAGCAGGGCCAGGCTTGGAGAAATGGATATAATACTGGCTCTAGGACATCCTCACCCATAGAAATGATCCAGCTGGTAGGAGGTGGGTACTCATCAAAGAGACACCTTTCTGAAGTAGGAGGCATTTGGGAAGTCTACTGTAGGAGACCGGCAGAACTGACTTTCTGGATATGAACCAGGGGATCCCTCAAGTCATCCTTATGTAAAACAACAAAAGGAAGAGGCCCTCATAACAGGCCTAACTTCCTGAAAAGGCAGGCAAGAGCTTCTCTTGGCTTCCATGGTTCCAGCAATTATATCACGGTTCTAATTAGAAATCGGTTATTAGTTTTTCCCACAGCACTGCTAATCCGGTTGTAAAGCTGTGCCAGAAACAGGGTTTATAGAGCCATAAACAGCTCCAGGGATGGTTGCAGCTATTTGTGCAGAGCAGTAAATATTTCAGTTTGTTGTTAAACAAAAGAAAGAGTGTGTTCCCCCCTCTTTCTCGAAAGGTGTCAAGAAAGTGGATTCGAATTCCCCCACCCCACACGCTATGACAATTGTAGCCCCTGCTCATTGTCAACTAGATTCAAGGTACAAATATTTAGGTTGGGTGAGCAGATGGCCCCACAGCTGCAGGCCATAAAGTTCCAGTCCACTTTAAAGTAAACACTCATAAGCCTTTCCCAGTTTCCCTGGTAAGGGACTCCAGGGCTGAGATGCCCCATCCTCTGAAGGAATGATGAATCGCCCCTGCCTAAGCCAAGCTCCCAAAGCAGTCACCTGTGTGCCACAGATGGGGTCCTCACAGAGGTACACGCCTGGCGACTGTCCATCCTGTAGGCTGCCCGTGGCCACCTCAGACAGCAGGTCTCGAAGGTTCTCCTCTTTCCCCCACACCTCGACAGCTGAGATCCGGACTGAGAATCGGGCCCCGGTCTTTTCCTTGCGCTCATTGATCAGCTTGAACAGCCAAGAAATGGCGCACGGAATGATGCCCAGGTTCTGCATGGAATCATCCCTTCCAATCATGGTGTAGGATTTCCCTGTGGGAGCCCGGGAAGAAAGAAACACGGTTGGAGAGGCCAGACATCCCTCTTTATAGCCTCAAAACACAGATGCTGAGGACACAGAAGGAAGGTGTGGGGGACTGGGAAGGAGACGAGAGACCAGAAAAACAGCCAGCCTTTCCTTGTACGGGTGATGAAACAGCTATAGGAACATTTGAGAGGCCAAACAAGCAACAAGATGAAATCACTAGGAGCCTGGCGGAGGACCTCAATCATCACAGGCTCTCTGCCTCCGCATTGGTCTACACAAAGTAGGAAGCTGGAGCTTTTCATCGTCATTCCAATCCTTTTTATAGCCACCCCACAGATTAAATCCACACACCCGTGCTTTATATCCTTTCTCAAGTTAAATGCTGTGTTTTTTTTTTTTTATAGTGCGAGCAAATTCCATTAAAATCAGGACCCCTGCTTTGATCTGATCATGAAGTGAAGAAAGGAGCGGGGGTGGGGGTGGGGGTAACAGGCTCTCTGATCGTAGGGGGTGTGGGCCTCTGTGCCCTCTGCAAGGCCTCTAGGATGAACCCTTCTACCGAGGAGCACTTGTTTGAGCTTCCCAAGTTGCTAACTCATTCTGCATGTCAGACAAGGCCTGGGAGCGAACAGATGACCATAGATTGGGACAGGGAAGAGAGTGTAGAGGGGACTGAAGCCAATCCTATGCAGGGCTAGCTGGTGGTGCCTTTCCCATGTGCTCAGACAGGGAGGACACCTCACTGAGCTGGATATTGGAGGCAAGGACAGCTTTGCTTCTCCCACGTGGGGTTCTGCTTGGAGATTCCTCTGTTAGCCCCACCCACCTAAATCTGCTCCCCAGACATGCCCTGTTCAAGACAGGTGCACCTTCCCTGCTCACCTTCTGGGATTGACTATGACCTAGACCAAGTAGGAACACTTTTGCTACCCCATGGTTCCCCCCTCTTGGACTTGACGCTGCCCTACGTGAGGAGGTGAACACTTAGGACACTTGTTTCAAAGTCAGGCGTGGTTAGTGTTTATTATTCAGTGTGGCACCAAAAGGGAACTTGGCCCTTCCTTTCACCGAGGACTCTAGAACCAATTCCGGAAGAGGGATGAGGTGACAGGAAACATGAGCAGCACCAGAGGTCACATTTCCACTCACCCAGCTTGGCATGGCCAAAACAGAACACACAGCCGTCTGCCCCGTTCACCACAGACTGGATTACCTCGGCCACCGTTCCGGCACATACTTCAGCCTGGAAGACACAAGAGGGGGCAGGCACAGGTGGTAACTGCGTCACGTAGCACTGTGAGGCACCTCGGTGACAACAGAAGTGAGTCTGCCTTCCCGGGGCTTAGAGTTCCAATGTCACCGCATTCCCAGATGCTCCAGCCTCTGCCACGGGGTTCTGAGGGAACTCAGAAACCTTAGGGACCTTCCACTCTTTGCTAGCCTGTGTGTGAAACACGCTGGCTATAAAGCTGCCTCCCACTAACGGATGGCACTCTCCAGCTTTATACAGATAAAGTAGGTACAGGCTTCAGTGGTAAAATGGGAGGGGTTCTAGACCCCGTTCCCCTCTGTCACCTATCGTTACTAATTTCAGCCTCCTGGGCAAGGCACCCAACTCTCTATTGTCCCTCTGCCTGTGCACGTGTGCACGTGCACACACACACACACACACACACACACACACACACACACACACACACACACCACATTTCCAAAATCAGCTAATCATACTAGAGGGGAAAAAGTGATTTCTATTTCAGCACAGACACCCCGAGGAACATCTTAGTTCTAACAGAATCGAGAACTTCCAGGCATGCATCTGCTTTCTCTCCATCCTTGTTTTCTTTGCTCACGTCCCGCTTTTGAAAATCTCCTTTCCTATAAATACAACTCACTGTAAACAGCATCAGCTGCCACACGCCAGTGTGTTATTTGGGGCATTCTTTGGCTGAGTGTGCTTCATCTTCTTCAGTTTTTGTGATTGCTACGATCTTTACACAGAGACCAGGCTCTCGATCCTTCTTTGCCCTCTCCATCAACGCTCGCTGACGGTGCATGCCGCAAACTAAAGGTATGCGGTCAGGTTTGCGGACCACCTCAGAGATTCGGAAAAATCTCCAGTTAGCATCTGAGACTTTCGCTGCAGCAGGAGGACCAAATTATTTTCCATGTCTCGCTGCCTGGCCTTCACTTCTGTCTTGGGGCTGGCGTCAGAGCCCACAGAGGCCCTGAGAGCCATCAAATGCTGGGGCTTCGCAGCCATCAGAGCAATGTGCCTCCCAGTGGGAACCTGAAAAGCGGCAGCCTGGGCCATGAATGTAGTTATTCAGCTCCACGGTGCAGCTGCGCAAGGAAGCTAAGTATCTGGAAATCAATTTTTTTCTCTCCCAAACTGAAATTGAAAAACCGCACTCCCAACAACTGTCCATTGTTCAGGGGTGGTCGCCTCAGCAGCTCTTCAGGGGTCCCCCCCTCAGCCAAGGGGATGGAGGGATGAGGCTAAATGAGGACCATGGGATCTTATAAAATTCCCAGGACTGAGGCAATCAGAGCCAGTACTGCATTAAAGCCAAGACTGAGGCCGTAGAAGCTCTCTGGAATCGGCCAGGGTTGTCTCCCCAAGAGCAGGGAGAAGCTGCTGCCTGGGAGCCTGCCTTTGAGTATGAAAGGAGGTGGGGGTTGGGAGACTGCCAGCCACCGTGGCCACACATAATAAACTCGGAGAGGCTTAAGTCACCAAGGAGAATTTGGGTTATGTGTGGAACAAACTGACACTGGAGTCATTAGTACAAGAATAGCTTCATAGGGTGTGGGGTGGTCCATACACTCCCTTCCAGGGCTTCTGCCTGGCTGTTCATAGAGAAGGGGATGATGAGAGACTTGTCTATGATGGATTGTTAAGGGATGACAGTGACCGAGAGAAACTCCCCACTGCCCTTCCCTGCAGGCCCAGAGAAGCAGAAAGCCTCCCTGAGCACACAGCTATGACAGAGACAGCTCCGCCCAAGGCCTTGATCACCTGCGGGTCTGAGTCCTTCCCACCTACCCCTAAGCCAGATCCATCAGAAGTTTGTACCACCACCAAGACTGCTGGAGGTTAACAAGGACATCTAATGGCAAGAAGGAACGGGACCAGTCTTTTACTCAGTGCCAAGGAGATGATGTTCTTAGAAAGAGGAAGAAAGAGGTCACAGAGGCCTGGGATCACCACAGTGACAGCTGATACACAGGCAGGGACCTGAGAGTGGCCCCTGAACCTGGGCCAGTAGAATACAGTGGAAACGATAGTGCCTCGATTCTCAGCCCTGGATACTGCCATGTCCACAGCCTGGGCTAGCCTGCTGGACAGTGTGAGACAATCCAGATGCAAGAGCAGGCGGCCCAGACAAAGCTACTTGGCACGCTTACCCGTTTCGTGCCTCGAGGCTTACGGGGTGCTGAGTCTGTGGGGCTGAGCTGGCTCTAACCAGTGGTGTCAGATTAACAACCAGGATGATGTAGTAATAAAGGCAGACAGCGACCATGGAGCACCTGCTGCCGGAACAGCCTCATGAGGCACATACATATATTTGGCATGTTAGGACCCCGAGACCCAGAGGGCCGAGGGACTTGCCCACTGACACACTGCTGGAAAACAGTGGATAAAATAGCGACAGGTCGGAGACCTGCTGTACTGAGCAGGGACTGAGGAGGTGGTGGAGTCCGGGGAGGATGTCTGCGAAGGACGGCAACTAAGGTGATGCGGCTAACTTGCGGTGCCTCAGTTTCCTCACGTGTGGTATGAAAAGAATTAAAAATGCCCCCTTTCTACCCAAAAGAATTCAAGGGAAAGTCCATGGCTTAACGCACATGAAAGTCCTTGGAAACCACAAAATTACAGAGAAATTTATACTACTAGACACCTGAGGGAACCAGAACATTCTGAAGGCTGTGAAAGTGTGGCTTTGAGCATCTTGAGCCTGGGAACCAAGTGAGAAATGTAAACAAAAACTAGCAATAAAAACGGCTCTTTTTTTCCCCTCCGGAATAAATCTAAAACTCATTAATAGTCCAGGTTTAATTTAGGGTGTGCTTTGGAATCCTTACAACTCCCCCAGATAGCTTTTGAAAAGTTTTACCCCTGTTAATTAAATTATTTGTAGGCCATTCATTAGCCCCGGTGTCGGGTTTAAATTACTGGTACAACATGAAAATTGAAAGGAACAGAGAAGCTGCGAAACTTAATCACAAAGACCCTTATCTTCCTATGATAAAACTGGAGAACCAGTGTTCAGCTCCCCGATGGGTGGCACCTACATGCACTACTGCCTGTTGGTGGAAGACAGGAGTGTAAACACCGGTATCCCCTTCAATCATATATAACACAGATTAACTGGCTGCAAACGGAAACTACTGGACCTGTGATCCTCAGCTCGGGGGTAGCCTGAACGATCCCACTATGAAGAGTTTCGTATAAATCTCAGGAAGTACTTGAAGTTTCTCAGAAAGGCATAGGCCCCTGATGCTTATGCAGGCAAAAGAGGACACCATCTGTCTGTAACATGGTTTACTCACCTATGAATATGTTCACTGATTTTTGGTATTGAGGAGTGAACCCAAGACTTGGCCATGCAGCAACATCTGACTGCTCTCACAAGCTCCCCAATTCCACATTCCTCCACTGATCCTGGCTGTAGGATACACACCAACCTCAGTTTCCCTTCTGAGCGCTCCATCTCCTCACTGGGACAATAGTGCTGCTTCCCACTCCCCAGGGGTGTGAGACACTGTCTGACTAGAATGCAGTTTCCTGAAACATTTTCCCTCGTTGCATGGCCATCCAACCCAGACGGCATGACTTGTCGGATGGATGCTGGGGATCCGAACCCAGACACTCATGCTTGTGTGGGAAACACTTTACCAACTGAGCCATCTCTTCAGCCCTCCGAAGATATAACTTGTTGAAATCCCAGCACACGTACTCTGCCCAAGGAAAGCACCATACCAGTAACTCAGAAGAACTGGGGTATTCTGGGAAGCTCAGAATGACTTCCAAACATAGTGATATGGATGGAGGAACTTGTCCATCAGAGTATCCCAGAAGACACCCTCCCAGTTCTCACTCCATTAATCAACACCGTCTGAGTCTGGTGGCTTTTACCCACCTGGGAGGCGTCTTGTGGGAAAACCGCATCAAAGGCGAACATCTTCGGAGGAACCTGGCTGCTTCTTTTCTGGAAGGCATTTTGACCCCCACAGGTCAGGGGGTCGTACAAGGTGATCTGCTTCTTCCGTGGATCCACCTTCAGGAAAGAGCTGGATTCTGAGGTATCTCGAGCGGATGTGGAACAGATACGAAGCATGACTTTCACCTGTTCAAAACCAAAGATGGCAACAACCTGGATTAGAGGGCTGGCTTAATGATGGAGTGGTCTTCTGCACTCAGTGGTATAAATATTTGTGGCAGCAGTGAACTTTCTCATGATGCATGATGGTGAAATACACAGTGAATCAGCAAGCTAATCCTCACCGGGTCAGGGGAAGGATGGTTTATTTATAATTACCAGGTAGAATATTTTGATATGTCCATTACTTTAAGGCAGAGAAGGCACACTGTGTTCTTTGTCTTCCTATTAATATAAATTAAAAATTAACTGTGCTCTGGTGGCCCAATTACATAGATGAAAAGCTAATCTGGACTGTCAGGCTATAGGGGTTGGTGCAGTTCCCTTGAAGCTCAAAGATCAATAAACCATGCACATAAAAGTTAGCTTCATAATTTACTCCCTAGCTCGGCTCATCAGGGCTCTGGGAGACAAAAATCCACAGTTATTAGTGCCATCATTAAAGCCCCGTGAAACGGCCTGTTTTTAATGGCCAGCATTTGAAATGCGTTCCAATGGGCAAGTGTGATAAAAGATTGGTTTGCAACGTGTTATTTGGGATCCCATTTCATGAGCACGGAGAAGCTTCATTTAGGGGGATGAGAGTGTGTGTCCGTAGAAATCAGAAGGCAGTACACGCTAACCCACCTTCAGAGTCACAGAAGATAAGCATCTCTAGTGCTTATGACCAGTTCAGCTCTGCCCCATTGATGAGGACAGTGGCAGTCATGGAAACGGACCACCTGCTTTGTAGCCTTAAGGTGGGCAGAAATCAAGCTGAAGGCTAGCAGCAATCTGGAGGCTACAGTCCTGGGAGACGGATTTAGCTCTGTTCTGTTATTTATTTATTTATTTATTTATTTATTTATTTATTTATTTATTTATTTATTTATTTATTTATTTTTTACTATGCTGTTTACTCAGTCCAGCATGTGATGGACACTTTCTTTGAGTATCTACTATATGCTGAGCACTGTGCTAGGCATGAAGGACACACAATGCATAGGGCAGGGCAGATAACTGCAGACACAAGAGATTTCAGTAATATAATGTGGAAAACTGTGAATGCCTGAGAGGATTATTTTTCAAAACTTGTACAACTATCTAACTAGTTGTTTGAACTGAGGAAACTCTCATCATGCTTTGGGGCAAGGCATGGTTATATTTTTTTCTGTGTGTGTGTGTGTGTGTGTGTGTGTGTGTGTGTGTGCTGTGCACACATGTGGGTTCCCATATATGTGAGTCCAAGCATATGTGTACCTATGTGCATGGCCAAAGGTTGATGTTGAGTCTTCTTTGATCACGCTCCACCATATATAATGATGAAGGGTCTACCATTTGACCACAGAGCTCGGCGATTAGGCTGGTGAAGCTAGACTACTTCTCCAGGAATCCCCTATCTCTGCCTCTCATATGCTGGGGTGACAGTGGGCTTCCATGCCCACCTAAAATTTACCTGGGTGCTGGGGACTCAAACTCTGGTACTCATGCTTTCATGGTAAGTTCTTGACTGTTCCAACCATCTCCCAAGCCCCTGGTCATACATGTTTTAATAAAACATTTTAAACATACAGGAATGTTCAGAGGACAATACGTATTGTGCACAGTTGAGTGAGGTCATCCCCTTGCCCATCTCAGCCCTGTTCGCTGAGGCCTGGGGACTAAACCTCATTGTACAAAGCTCAACGGTGAATCATTCCAAGGATACCAGGCTCGTCCGAGGTCTGGTGCCATACCTTGCCTGCGATTCTCTTTATAATCCCTATGCTCCAGTGTGGAATGGAGGCCGGGGTCGTGATGAAAGGTCATGGCTGGCCTCCCGGGATTAAAACTATGATTCTCCTATGTGAGACCATAAATACTTATTACCATTTGGAGGTGAGGGCCTGTATTATACCAGGCCTGTGCCATCATCTACATGATCTTATTTAGTCCCCCTGGTGACCCAGAGCATGGACACACTTGTCTAGATTTTCCAGTGGAGGAAATGGATATCATACAATTACATTATAGCTCCATCCTGTTGCTGTAATAAACATTCTGCCTAAAAGCAACTTGGGGGAGGAAGGGGTTTATTTGGCTTACACTTCCTGGTCACAGTCCATCATTGAGGGATGTAAAGGCAGGAAACTGAAGCCAGAACCTTGGAGGAACACTGCTGACTCTCTTCTCTGAATCACTTGTTGGCTCCTGCTTAGCTAGCTTGCGTCTATAACCCCAGGATAACCTGCCTAGGCATGGTACCACTCATGGTGGGCTAGGCCCTTCTGCATCAATTAATAATAAGATAACCCCTCACAGACGCGCCCACAGACCAACCTGATAGAGATACTCAATCGAGACTCTTTATTTGGGTGAGTCTAGGCTGAGTCAAGTTGACAGTTAACACTGCTATGGACACACTTTGGCCCATGTTGCTGTAGCTGTGGGTGGTAAGGCTGGGCCAGACTTACCTCTAGGGCCCCATGTTTTCTCTTCTGGCGTCTACCCCCCATGGTCTAGCTTCTTAGAGCCTCACTTTCCGCATTGAGTGCACAGAGGACTCCATTCCTACTCTCTCCACAGCTTGCTCCCTTTCCCTGCCTTCCTCTGGGCCTTGGCAGACTATTATTTTCCAAAGACAATGCTGATGATAAAGCTACATAATGCCTTGACCTGGTTTCTGGGTACCATGTCACACAAAAAGGACCCCAGGACAGATACTGTAAATATGGATAGTTAGTAAGTATAAGATGTGACTAGGATCCTACCAGGACAGCTCTTTCAAGTCCCACAGCCACTGTGTCCTGGACAATAGCCACTATGACTATCCATCTGCCACTGGGGCATGTCCTTGTCCCCCATCACTCTCTCTAGCCTGATTTTGACTCAACTCATGAATAGGTTTGTCCCAGTTACACCGCGGCACGCTACAAGCAGGCATCCACACAGCTACTTCCGATAGGTGGCTGGGCCCCCCGGGCTTCCTGGGAGTGACTCCCCCCATCCAGCTCTGAACCACACAAGTCAAGGATGCTGCTGTGACTCCGGGCAGAACTGATGGAGCCTCATGGCCCACTGCTTTTTCTATTTTGCAATTTTGCATGCCATTTCTAGGTAACGGGTGGTGCTGAATGTGAAATGTGAGCTAGGCGAGGCAGAAGCCCACGTGGAGAAGAGGGAGGCAGGCACTGGCTCAGCCAGCCATTTGAACGGGAAGCATATGCCTGCATCTTAATGAAACACACGGCCCCTTTTCTGCAGATGAGCTAAAGACCCAGCCTTATGTCTAGCTAAGGAGAGACACAGTTCTTTAAAATCCCATTGAACTCCGAGCTGGGGGAAAGGCCACACTTCATCCTTTTCTCTGCAGTTCATTTAAATAAATGGAGGATTTTCCCCCTTCTCGGAAGGAAATTGGGTTTTTCTGCTTGGCCTCCCTTTTGCCATTATTCCTTTAGTCCTGCACTCCACTTCCTGCTTAATCCTCTGTAATTAAAGAGCTTAAGAGACACCACTCAGGATCAAGAAAGTTCCTCGGACGTCTTGCCAGGAGCCCTGGCTTTTGCTGCGAACACTGCTAGGTTCTTGGCAACGTCCTCGACCCTGCCCTCCGCCCTGCTCCTCCTGGAGAGTCGGAGCTGCCACACACATTCCGAGACTAGCTCAGCTCTCGGGGGTCAAGGCCACAGTCGCTTCCGAGAGCGGACCTGGGACAATGGCATCGGCTAGCTGAAGGGGCAGTCTGAGAGGAGGCAAGGAGGGGCAGACACCCAGAGAGGGGAGCCCGTCAGTGCGGACCGAAGCCCTCTCCGATTGGGAGCCACTTCGCCTCATTTGTCTAATTACTCAGTGGTTGGTGCAAGACAGCTGTTGCTCGGGGCAGCCGTGGTCTTTGTGTCTTGCTCATTAATCTTTTCAGCGCTTTCAGGCGGATGGTATCCTGAGGCCGGAGAGAAAGGGATTGCGAGACACTCATTGAGCGGGGGCTTCACATCACTCTCGCAAGCTGCACACACCCTCCATCAATGAGGAGGTGACAGCCGGCTGCCACCCGCCTTATTGGAGGCTGAGGAGTGGGCCCTGCCATCCCTCGCCACCACTGTTACACATGGTCACAGTCAGCAGACGCGATTGTTGGTCCCTAGTCGTCACTGGTCGCAGACCCAGTGAGACTCCGTGGTCTGTTGCTCTCCCCAAAAGCTGCTGGCTTGGACGCCTGGGTTCAGTTCTAACACTCAGGAGGGCTTTGGGCAGGCTGGCAGTTCAAAGGGTCCCTCGCCAATCAGAAAGACTGGACAAGGCGGTCAGGGGCAAAGAACTCTGCCTTCACTCTCATGTAGGAAGGAGCTCACTGAAGTTCCTTATGTGAACACCCATACTGAGAGCCCTCCAAGGACAAGAAGCGAACAACCAGGGACCACTCGGCCACCTGGCTGTAATCAGCGCTGGGTAAGAAGATGGTTTTCCTACTCAGGGTCATGAGGTAGAGCACGAGATGAACACTGCATCTTTCCAGTCCTTTATACCTCCGTATTCTGATTCCTTTACATATAGTTAAGGATCAGCTTAGGAGCCGGGCGGTGGTGGTGCTTGCCTTTAATCCCAGCACTCGGGAGGCAGAGGGAGGCGGATCTCTGTGAGTTCGAGGCCAGCCTGGGCTACAGAGTGAGTTCCAGGACAGGCTCCAAAGCTACACAGAGAAACTCTGTCTCAAAACACAAAACAAAACAAAAAAGAATCAGCTCAGCTCAGCTCAGCTCAGGAGAAACTGGTCAAGGTATAGATATAGATGCAGCAACCGACTCCAATTGCTATTTTAGAATCATTTTGGTCTCGTTCTGGGCAGGACTGGGGTTTTCCTTAAGACTTCACATCTGTGAGGTCCTGAGTCATGTAGAGAAACTTCCCCAAAAGGAAGCAGGAAAACTGAATAGACTCAGTAGTGAGGTGTGGTGATAGATGCTGGCAATTCTAGTACTCAGGGGCAGAGGCAGGAGAATGCTGAA